TTGAACACTTTTAAAGTGTTCCAAAAGTTAAGTTGAATAAGTTCTTTTTTCTATATGTATTCTTAAGTGTTGAACCCCCCCTCTGTATAAAGGTAAATCATCCGATTTAAAAAAAAGTATGTCAACTAAAAAAAGTAAGTAAATTGTACTTCTTATAAANAAAAGTATGTTAATTAAAAAAAGTAAGTAAATTGTACTTCTTATAAAAAATTGTATTGATCCATATATTTTTCAAAAATGTATAGCATTATAAAGTAAAATTAGATAAAGGGTTAAATTTATAAAAAAAATATATGAAATGATAGGTAAATACCTCACATATTTATAAAAAAAAATATATTTATTTGGTCATTTTTGAAAAAGCTATGGCAGTTTTAACTAAAAAAAATTAAAAAAATGTTTAATTTTTTAATTTTTAATTTTTTTGAAGATTTCCTCCATTTATAGGGAACGAAAGAAATGTTGTCAATTTTTGAGGTTAATGTCTTTGACTTCATACAATTTGTCATCTTTTGACGTATCGTTGAAAGAAACCGGTTTGATCAGAGCTGAGAAAAAGTGGTAACAGACACAAAAAAAGAATAGAAAAAAACACATCATAGTAAAATTAATACCATCTTAGCTTCGCATCAAAGCTATAAAAGACTACAAAATCTGCCGATTACAAGTATAGTCATATCTAAGAATAGCTCAAAATAGGCGGAGTTGGATATAAATTGTTTTAATAAATTATACATTCTTTTTTTGTTGCAACAATTAAAAAATGATTAGTTAAAATAATAAATATTTTATCTTCCCTCGAGATGGTCCAGACTATTGATTCTGTGGTATTTTAAGTGTATGATTAATAGTTAATTTAATTTAATACACTGTTAAAATATAGATGTAATTTTATTTTTAAATAATATTGTTCATAATATAAATTTAATTCTAATAAAAAGTGTGTAAAATAATAATTTTAATAAATATCTATTATTAATATGAATAAAGCAAACAGTAACGGAATATCTTTGAATATTATAGTTAATATTATACTTCTCAAAATATTAATAAATTGCATATGCTTACACAAAGCTCATAATTTAACACCCAGATATACGCATAAATGTAAATACTTCAAAAATATATTTATTAATATATACACGTTTATATATTTGTTTATATAAACACTCTCGTATGTCACTTACCTTAATTATTTATAAATAACCTATTAACTCTATTTGTAAATGAAATATCCTTAATCAAACACGTAAAAATCATTAAGTTATCGTCTTATAAGNATTTCTCACCCCCCCAATTGGTTCATTATTGTAAAAAAGTAATTTGAGTAAAATTTAGCCATGATTAATCAACCCCTTCAGGTGCCACCAAGGGGGTGAAAATTGATAACAAGTCGTTTTCTGAGTTATTTTTGCTTATTGATAGAAAAGTGTTGCACTAATCGTAAAAATGAATAGAATTTAAAATGTAGCTATTAACATTTCCAATAAAAAGTATTCTTATAACATTTTCTCAAGTCTATTATTTTCCAAGAAAAATAATGAAGTAGCTTAAAATTTTCCAGGGGTAGTTTTCAGATTTTTTTTTATTATCTAAAAACTATTATAAAATCAAAAGAAATGTAAAGGACTAAATGCATAGAAAATTTATTTTCTATAAAATAGAATTTTACTTAAGTATATTATTTTATATAATAATTAGTCTCAATGTTAGTTTTTTCTACATATATTAAATATGATTAATAATACAACTAAAAGTCCAAGACTAATTTTGTTTAAAATTAAAATCTCTTAAAAATATTTTGTACATTTTTCAATTAAATACTGATAAATTTTTTTGTAATTTAAAATATAAAAATAATGATATTAAATAATAATTATAATAATAATAATTATTATTATTCTAATGACTATTTTAATATAAAAGTAATGAATAATGTATTTATGATAGTTAAAATGAATTTTCAATTATATGATTCTTTCAGAGTATCTTTACCAGGAAACTTTTTTCTATAATCTTGAACTACCTGAAAATATATCAAATTATAAATAATTAAATGAAAAATAAATATTCTATAACTAAAACAAAGGATTATTACTTGCAAAACAAATTGATTTTGTTCTTCATTTTTCGTGAACTTTTCATTGAAATCCGTCATAAGTTTGACCCCTCGTTCTGCCATATCGTTGACTACTTTTATTGATTCTACCACTCTTTTTCCTTCAATGTATCCTTCATGTTCGTTCCATTTGTCTGACTGAACTTTCAAAAAATCAGTAGACATATTAAATTTTTCAAATATGTTTTTCGAATTATTCCCTAGAATATCTAATAGTAATTCTTTGTTAAGAAAGTGTTGTAAATCTTCAAATTTGAGGATGAACTTTTTTTGCGATTCTTTTTCAGGAGTACCATGCATAATTTTTTCAGCCATTTTTCTTCTTGTATCTTTACTTAACCTTTCATCAAAAATTGAAAAAGTCGCACACTCTTCACTCAAGTACCACAAATTATTAATAAATTTCATAATTGCTTTTTCAGCAACTTCTTTATCGTCATTTTTATAAAAATACAATTTTTTTCAAAACTCAATATCATTCATTGTGGACGTAGGAGCATTTGAACATAAAAACCACGATTCTGCGTAACACTTTTTAATAAAACAGCAGATTCGTTTTAAACGTTTATCTTCGCGTTGAGTAATTTTAAACTGGTGTCGGAATAAAAATAGTTTTAAACAATACAATGATTTGGCTATCCAACGTGCGATATGACAAGCACCTGGTGTTTTAAAGTGTATACCTTTAGGTGGCAAACCACCTAAAAATATTATTATTAGTTCGAGAAATTCTTTATAATCATCTCTAGGTAGTTCTTCTTCGAGTTTAATTTTACAAAATTGTATCATCTCATCAGCAATTCCCATTAAAATATTTTTTACATGTTCATCAGTAATCCAAATTAAATAAGAATTTTTATCAATATTTGGCCATTCTTTTTAAAATTTTTAAACAAGGTAATTTCAGGTCCTGTACTTGTTGCTAATTTTACTTCAGTAAATATGCCTTGCAAAACTATTTCGTAAACATGGTGCCTACATGTTAAGAATAAAATATCTCTATCAAACTTTAAGTTTCAATTATTTATTATAATTGTCAAAAGTTCACATTACTTACTTATGATAAATTTGAATTTAAATTGATGTTTTTGTTATGTTAATAATTAATACATAAAAAATTTACCTGAAGATTTCATTTCATCATAAGCTCTATTTCTTCTTTCGGCAAAATTTATAGACCTTTTTTTAATTCGTTCTTCAAGTTTTTGATGTTTTCTATCTATTCCCAGCATACAACCAGATCTTCCTTTTGTCCTTTGAGCAATTAAAAACTTTTTGTCGCTTTCTATTTTCATTAAATTAAGAGCATTAGCATGTGCTATATCAAAAAAATCATCCAACTTATTTACAAATTCTTCTTCTTATTTTTATCAGCAACTAATTTTCTAGTGGCATGTTTTTGTAAGTTTCGCCATTCATTATACAATGATTCAACTTTTGCAATTAAGTTATATTCTTCTCTAACTGGAATACGCGCTTTTTCCCAGAATACAACAATTTCACGAACAACTAATTTTGCACTATCGTGAACATTTAATTTTACATTTCGTATGTTAAAAAAAAGTACACTTAAAACTTGTCTTATAGAAGGTAGCTTGCTGCCAACAATTTGATTCGACATGTTACCAATTAAAAATATTTTACTCGATTCTCTGAGGTTCATTTTTTATGATGATGCTATAATACAGTGTAGAGCACTTAACAAGTTGACTGGTAAGCTTCTTGTTACTCAATGTAAATGTGAGTTAATTTAATGCTCAAACCAGTCAACTTGTTAAACGGCCGATTTCAAAATTAGCTTTTCTTATCAATTTCAGATAAGAACATTTGATGAATACTTTTCATGTAAAAGTAACATGTCATATAATAATAATGGAACAGTGAAGTTGTAAACAACGCGCGTTTGCGATAATATCTTTTTACAAAAATAACGATAGTTATGTGTTTGCGCAGCATTCATTTTGTGTACATTTCCACCTTAAACGACATGATCCAGTACAATGATACCGCTCCTAGCCATTTTTATACATTTTATCGTTAAATTTGATCGCTCAATCATTTTACAAGTAAACCAGGGCATATTATCAACCGTTGTTCTAAAATATATTAATACAAATAAAACACCAATTTTGCAGAAAAAATAAATTATTGACTTCTATATCATTTTTCTTGGAAAATAATAGACTTGAGAAAAATGTTATAAGAGTACTTTTTATTGGAAATGTTAATAGCAACATTTTAAATTCTATTCATTTTTACGATTAGTGCAACACTTTTCTATCAATAAGCAAGAATAACTCAGAAAACGACTTGTTATCAATTTTCACACCCTTGTGGGCACCTGAAGGGGTTGATTAATCATGGTCAAATTTTACTCAAGTTACTTTTTTATAATAATGAACCAATTGGGGGGGTGAGAAATGAAAAATATTTATAAAAAATTTTCTCTCCTATAAATAAGGACCACCCTAATATATATATATATATATTTATGAGACTAGAATTTAATAAATGATAGCACAGTGGAGTCGTGGCATAGTTGCTACGAGTACAGATAATATCTGACAGTGATTAAAATCATAAGAATTGGTTCGGTACAAATCTGTAGATAGTGTTAAATTTTAAGAAACTGGTAGATTATTCCAACAGCAACATCAATTCCTTGTTCCTTAATTATACAAATTAGAAGTTTTTAAAATAAGAAATTTGATTTATTTTGAACAAACTAGCCGCGACCTCGTGTTGTCGTCGGTACATTTTAAAGCGATATCAAGAACAATTATTTTTACGTCAATACTTTATTTATTTATTAAAAAAGGAACAGTATAAATCTGAACGTAATTTATGCAAAAGAAGTAAATTTACATTAACCCAATTATTTAGAATTAATAACCTGAGTAAATAATGGTAAAGCAATAGATTTTTTAAACATCATTTAATTTAATTATTAATAACTAGTTAGTAATTGTTCATATACTTCGACTGGGTGTCAAATAAGAGGCCAAGACTCCGGCCACTAAAAGAATACCTCAGCGTTTAATACCTCTATGTGAGGAACTTAATTAGTATCTTTTTATATCTACTTGTCTTTACTGTTCTAAACCCTCGGATTCTACAACCCCGATAGAACCTCATTGCTCCTGTATTGACCAAATCCCCAAATATCCAACATTGGTCAAATAAAATACCCAACCACATCTTTTTGCTTATTTTTGTATTACTACAATTTATATATAAAAAATATTATGTAAAACAAAAAAAATTTGGATTTCTAATTATTACTGATTTAAAATTTTTATATGTTTAAAATAATCATTGTATAATATAATTTTATCAACTAATTTTTTGGTCCTTAAGTTGATATTTATGAAAGTTGATAGTAAAAAAAAGTTATATTTGCTATCAAAACTTTTAGCTCAAACTTTCAGTTTGATTATGAGATCAATAAATAAAATATATTATGATAATTAAAAAATGTTATTTTTTAGATGAATATTCAGTCTGTAAATTTTATAATTACAATTTACAATAAATTTATCAGAAACGCTCAAAATTTTTTTGCATTTTTATAGTAATCGTCACTTAAATAGAATTCATAGGAATATTTCCTAAATACTTTGGTGTTTAAAAAGATTCTACATTCAAATATTAAAAAATTATTTACTTTAACTATACAGACCAATCAAAAATTACTTAGAAATGATTATTCTAATTTCTATATAAGTGATCTATTACAATAAAAATGCAAAAAAGATATTGAACTTTTCTAATAAATTTTCAGTAAATAGCAATTACATTATTTCCTGACTGCATGTTAATCTTAACAATACTATTTTTTTATTCTCGTTAAAATCTTCTACTTCATAATGTAAATTTCAAACCTGAAATTATGGTAATAAATTCAAATTTATTTTATTATAAACTTTAAAAAATCAATTTTAAACTACCAAAAAAATAGGTTAAAAATATTATTTTTCACTGATTATTTTTAAAATATTAAAAATCAAAATCAGTAATAATTTAAAAACAATTTGTTGTATTATGAATTATTTTTTTATCTCAATAAATTATTTCAAAAGAAATGTAATATTTTCTATATCATTCTTGGTATTTAAATAGATGATACAATTTTAATTTTCAAAACTATTTTCCTTATAGTAATATCCTATTGTTTTTAACTAATTAGTTATAATATCAAAAATTATAGGCGATAGAAAACATAAAATTGCTAATTTGAAATTAGTACAAAAAACTGAATAATAAAATTATCTTTTTTACTCTGATGAATATTTTTAGCAAACCATTTATTTATAATTAACAACAAATTACTATATAAAATGTTCTGTGTCAAGCCCTTCAATTTGTATACACTTATGCTATAACAGTAATAACTACTTTATAATTTTTATAAATTCTCCAAAAAAATTTAAATACTTAATTATTAAATATCAATTTCATACTACGTTCAATTGCTTTAATACATATTTATTCATAAAATATACTGATAAAGCAATTAATAATCAAAAATAATGATAGAAATAGGAGTTAATATTGCTTTAAGAATAATCAACCAATTACTTAAAATTAAACACTAATTAAAAATTTGATGAGAGCGTTCTTTATGATATAGATTTTAATTACTATTAGATATCACCTATAATGACCCAAATATTATACGTCTCTACTGTGCTGGATTTTTTTTTTTTAGATAGATAATTTTCTGATTTTTAAGTAGATCAAATATAACAAACCCAGCACAGGGGGGTCGCGGCACAGTTGTGACGTGGTATAGTTGGATCTAGTATAATGATATATGACAGTGATTAAAATCACTATCAAAAATAAACGCTTCGATGCAAATCTTTAGATAGTGTTTAATTTAAAAAAAATTGGTGTTTTATTCCAAAAGCTACTTGATTTGCTGGTTCCTTAATATCTCGATTAAGATAAAGTATGTCGAATGAAAAAGGGTTTATTAAAAAATATTATTTCTCATAAAAAAATTGTGTGGATCCATAAACTTTTCAATAAGTTATAGCATTATAAAGTTAAA